CTTTAAGTAGGTGTCCTTTTTTTTTTTTGGTTGTGTTTTTTCGAATTATATATTTTATGTTATTTATTACATTTTATTTTGAACAGGTAGGATATATGTTGCCTTGTGGGCCCGAAATCAAATTTAAAGAAGCGTTGCGTGTGAAATTTTGAAACGCACCGCCCAAATGTGGTAAAAGATTCTCTACTCTCACAGGACTATATTGTTCATCTACTCCACTGGACAAACATCATTTTAGGAATACTTTTGGGATATCAAATTTTCGGGAGGTAACGGGGGATAGAACCCAATGACAAAGAAAAGAAAAAAAAAAATTGCACCCTCTATGTACCTAAAAAAAGTAATATCACAAGATTGCTTACGAACCGTTCAATTTTTTGAGAAAAAGATTTAGATATTCAAGAACTTAACAATCCAATTTTTGAATCTTTGAAAACAATAATCTAATGATGGACCAATTTTTTTTTATTATTATTAAAAACACTCCCAACCAAAGAGAGTTGTTGAATAGCATTACTCTCGCGGGAGCATATGCTATATGAGCTCATGTATTCTCCAAAATGAGCATATAGCATAAAAATAAAATTTATCTTTAAAAAAAATTGAAAACATGTTCCTTACTCGTTAAGGAAAATATGCCATGTTCCAAGTAGCATACAAATAGTTTGTTATATGTACCATCAATTCTATAGTGTAAGTGCCACCGATTGATGGTTAAGATTTTTGTAGATTTCTTCATATTGTCGGGTTTCCTATTATAACTTACTAGTTCTGTCAGATAATCGATTGGTTCCAGTAGCAACTGCTCGGTTTCTAATACCGTCAGGGAATCAGGATGGTCCCAAAGATTTTTAGGTGGGATTAGATGATTTTGAGATCAACAATCTCAATCATCAATTGTTGTAAACAATAGATGGTTGTATAGATGATAGCACCTTGTTTTAAACCCAATTGCTATCACAAAAAGTATATATGCTAAAAGTAGCATACTGCATGTACCATGCTATACTTTCCCATCTATTTATTTTTCTAATAGCTTTAATTTGTGGAATCCTGCACTTTACGCCATACCCTTGGAACACTCGAAAGCATTATTTTGGTTCCTTCTCGTAATAAAAAATAAAAAATAATATATTTTTTTTACCCTCTTAAAATATGTGAAAACGTAATCTAGAAGCATGCCAAATTCGAAGCATAAAACCCAGGTCTAAGAGAAACCCAAAATCCAATGTCTTTGAGATCCACAAGACCACCACGAATCATCAGAACCTCCACTTCTTCACCCTCTTGCCTTCAAATTCTCCAATCGCTTACTTAGCTCCTCCTCTCTAACTCTCTCGCTTCCTCCTTTCTCTGTAACTCTTTCGCTTCCTCCTTTCAATGGCACTGAACGCTTCTCCTGAGGCAACCCCACAGCAACCTCCAGTCCGTAGTCCTCTGCAACTTGGTGCATGAGAGAAAAATAAAAAATAATATTTTGCGGGCCTTTTGGCTTTTACAGTACGCTTTTTTCTCAGAATTGGGGAGAATTAGAAAAAAGGGCAAAAAAAAAAAAAAGAAAGGAAGAAGAAGGAGAGGATGGAGAAGAAAAGGGGGGTAAAAAGAGAAAGAAATGATTGGCTGCCATCGCATCAGAAGGCATTTGAAGCGTAGATATCATGAAGGAGGTTCTGTGAGAAAAATTCATTTTCCAGATAAGCTTTTTAGACATTGATTTCCCTTACATATGTATGAGGAAATTGAGCACATTTGAATGGAATTAGGGTTCTTTTGGGGAGCTGAATCTGTGTTGGACTTGGTTTATGACCTTTTCAAATTGAAAATGTTTTAGAAAAGTGAAATTGGGGTATTTTTGTTTGTGACTTTCAGCTGGATTTGGGTTTGAATTGATTTGAATATTGGAGAATTCTGCAATTTAGAAATAGGATTTGGATCCTTTGTTTAATATTCCGGCAAGTTTGGGTTTTGTAGGGCTCTGTTATTGAAGAAAAAAATTGGGTTTTTTCCTCTTTCTTCCGTTAACAGCTGAAGTTGTGGTTGAAGCTTTGGAAGTTGTGGTAGTTAGGTTTTGGAAAGGAAAAGAACGGTTTCTTCTTTGTTCAACTGTATTTGAGTTTCGGATTGGGTTCAAATTCTGAAAGATCCCGTAATCAGTAAGGTAATTATTTAGTAGAAATTGTCCATTTTCTCTTCAGTTCAGCTGAATCTGGCTTTGAGTGCGCCGAATTGACAAAGTTGGGCCCGAAAATATAATTAGCATTTGTTTCCAGCTGAATTTAGGGCTGTATGGTTTTGGAGGGATTTACAATTGAAGAAATTGGGTTTATAGGATAAACTAGTAGGTGGGTTTCTTTAGCTGACTGTTCATTTAGATTAGTTTGGAAGTTTCAGAATTTTGCAATTGAGAAGCTTTCTTTGAGAAGAAGCCCACCTTCCAGAACCAAAGTTCGATTTGTATTATATAACCTATAGCCTTGTTTCAGTGTTCCACTTTATCTTGGAAGATTGAGAGGGCTAAATCTTCTGTACCTTGAATTGGGGTTTTCCTCTTTCGATTCAGACAAAAGAAAGGGAAAGGAAAACTGCTTTGTCGTGAGTTAATTGGGCCTGTTCTTACTGTTTTCTTGGTTGGAAGCAACAAATAAAAGAAATCTAGATCTGTAATTAAGGTGTTGTAGCTGTATTACCATGGGGAAGCCTAGTGGGAAGAAAAAGAACCACTCACAATCAAATTCTGGCAATGCATCGATGAAGCAGAATAAAGCAGGTGACCTCAACTCCAAAACCATTGATGTGGACATGACTGTGTTTATTTTAAGGTCCCAGGAGTTAAAAGAAGAAGGCAACAAGTTTTTCCAGAAGAGAGAATACTTTGAAGCCAGGTCTAAGTACGAGCATGCCCTAAAACTACTCCCTAAAGGGCATATAGATTGTGCATACCTTCACAGCAACATAGCTGCCTGTTTCATGCAGATGAACCCTTCAGAGTACCAGAAGGCCATTAATGAATGTTGTATGGCTCTTGAAGTTTCCCCTAAATACACCAAAGCATTATTGAAAAGGGCTAAATGTTATGAGGCTTTAACCAAGCTTGACTTGGCTCTCCGAGATGTCAACACAGTGTTAAGCTTAGAGCCAAAGAATCTAACTGCTCTAGAGATTGCAGAGAGGCTAAAACAAGCTTTAGAGAAAAAAGGCTTTGCCCCAGACAATATAAGCGCAGAGAATGTGGTAGAACCAGTTTCTCAACAAACTCAAGTTAAAATTTCAAAAGAGAATGTAATAGAACCAGTTACCCAGCAACCCCAAGTTAAAGGTTCAAAAGAGAAGTCAAGGAAAAAGAAGATCAGCAAGACTGAAGACAAGATAATTGTGGAGGAGAAAGATAAAGCGATTGTGGAGGAAAATGTTAAAGTTGAACCTACCAAGGCAGTGAAGCTGGTTTTAGGAGAGGATATAAGATGGGGCCAGTTACCAGTGAATTGCAACATTAGGCAGTTAAGAGAGATAGTTCGAAATCGTTTTCCTTGTTCTAAAGCAGTCTTAATTAAATATAGGGATGTTGAAGGAGACTTGGTGACGATTACAACCACTGAAGAGCTCAGATGGGCTGAGGAATCTGCAGACTCTCAGGGCTCCTTGAGGTTGTATATATTCGATGTTGGTCCTGATCAGGAGCCTTTATTTGAGGATGTGAATAATGAGACGGACTCACAAAAACCCAAGGAAGGCCCAAGAGAAAATGGGGTCTTGGCCTCAGACAAGGCTCCTCATATTGATGATTGGATTGTACAATTTGCTAGGCTCTTCAAAAGTCATGTGGGTTTTGATTCTGAGGCTTATTTGGATCTCCATGAGATTGGTATGAAGCTCTATTCAGAAGCCATGGAGGATACTGTAACTAGTGAAGAAGCTCAAGGCTTGTTTGAAATCGCAGCTGAGAAGTTCCAAGAAATGGCGGCTCTTGCTTTGTTCAACTGGGGGAACGTCCATATGTCTAGAGCAAAGAGGAGAGTGTCTTATGGAGAGAATGTTCCAAGAGAGTTGGTCCTATCACAGATTAAAAATGGCTATGAATGGGCTCAAAGAGAATACAACCAGGCAGGAGAGAAATATGAGGAAGCTCTCAGGATCAAACCAGACTTTTATGAGGGGTTTCTTGCTCTTGGGCAACAACAGTTTGAGCAAGCCAAACTAGGATGGGATTTTGTTCTTGGTAGCCATGTGGATTTAGAGACTTGGCCTTCTTCAGAGGTCCTTCAGTTGTTCAACAATGCTGAGGACAATATGGAGAGGGGCACGAATATGTGGGAGGAGATGGAAGACAAGCGCTTGAATGACCTAAAAATTAAGGGGAAAACTGAAACACAAAAGACAGGAGAAAATGGGGTCACAAAGGAACTATCTCCTGATGAAGCTGCTGAACTGGCTGCAAATATGAGGTCACAAATCAACCTCTTATGGGGTACTATGCTTTATGAGCGCTCTGTTATAGAATTTAAATTGGGCTTACAAGTCTGGGACGAATGTTTGGAAGCTGCTGTTGAGAAATTCAAACATGCCGGTGCTTCCCCAATTGACATAGCTGTCATGATAAAGAACCACCCTTCAAATTCAACTGCTCTAGAAGGTACACTGACCCATATATTCGGATTTTTAAATTATGGCCCAAGATATTGATGGTCAATGATTATTTCTAATGATTCAAAAATGTTGATCCAGATCGTGAATTACCGATCCTGATTTGGAATCAATGGGGACCGACCCGGTTCCTAGCTAGAATTGGGAATCGGTCTGGTTTTGACAAACTCACTCGGTTTGTCTAAGAACCAAGCAATCTGGATCGTCATAATCCCTGTTCCTCTCATTTTATTTTATCTTAATTTTTTATTAGAATATTATTATTTTCTTTATTTTTGACCGATTCGGCGATTCCCACACTGGGGATCCAGCACGGGACCAATCCAGCCGCTAGATCCGGGTTTTAAAACACGGAATACATCTATAGCCATGTTAACTAGTTGATAACCATTTTTTTGTAGCTATGAATTGTTATTTTTCAAATAGAGGACCTTCCATAGCTATCTATACTACTCGACACCCATTTTTCTCTTGTTCTTTCTCGAAGAACCATCGAGCGCATGTCATTGCTCAAGATGGTAATATATACCAATCCTTCATTATGAAGGATTTTAAATTATAGACCACCTTCTTCATGCATGTCTGATATTTCAGATTACTGATATGTAAGCTATTCTATACCCATGTTTTTCGTACTTCCCTGAAGTTGTCATGAAGTCAATAAGTAAAAGGATAGTTGACTATTATTTCTCAATTTACTATGTATGATGCAGGCTTGAATTTCAAGATTGATGAGATAGTTCAGGCATGGAATGAAATGTATGATGCTAAAAGGTGGTTGAAGGGTGTTCCTTCGTTCAGGCTAGAGCCTTTATTTCGTCGGAGGGTTCCAAAATTGCATCATGTTTTGGAAGATGTATGATTTGTTCATTATTTATTCTGGTGTGAGATAGAATTCAAAGTTCCTATTAGGCAATTTTTGGGCGATTGTGAGCCTTTATTTTTATTTAGATTCATTGTCTCGAAGCAGAAGATGTATATTGCTTTAATCAGGTAAATTCTACTCCTTTAATATTTTTATTTATTAGAACATGAAGTTTTTCAATTCTCCTCTTTATTATATGATTATTCTTTTCCTACTTCAAGTTATTTGGATATTGAAATCTGCAGTCTTTAGCTTCATTATCTACATGAATTTTGCAGTTCGGATCATGCCATTTTGTCCCCCTTGCAATCAGATCATGCCGTTTTATCCTCCATAGCTATCTAAACTACTCGACACCCATTTTTATCTTGTTCTTTCTCGAACAACCATCGAGTGCATGTCATTGCTCAAGATGGTAATATATACCAATCCTTTATTATGAAGGATTTTAAATTATAGACCACCTTCTTCATGCATGTCTGATATTTCAGATTACTGATATGTAAGCTATTCTATACCCATTTTTTTTCGTACTTCCCTGAAGTTGTCATGAAGTCAATAAGTGAAAGGATAGTTGACTATTATTTCTCAATTTACTATGTATGATGCAGGCTTGAATTTCAAGATTGATGAGATAGTTCAGGCATGGAATGAAATGTATGATGCTAAAAGGTGGTTGAAGGGTGTTCCTTCGTTCAGGCTAGAGCCTTTATTTCGTCGGAGGGTTCCAAAATTGCATCATGTTTTGGAAGATGTATGATTTGTTCATTTATTTATTCTGGTGTGAGATAGAAATCAAAGTTCCTATTAGGCAATTTTTCGGCGATTGTGAGCCTTTATTTTTATTTAGATTCGTTGTCTTGAAGCAGAAGATGTATCTTGCTTTAAACAGGTAAATTCTACTCCTTTAAGATTTTTATTTATTTAATTCTAGAAGCAGAAAAATGTATTTATTAGAATGTCAAGTTTTTCAATTCTCCTCTTTATTATATGATTATTCTTTTCCTACTTCAAGTTATTTGGATATTGAAATCTGCAGTCTTTAGCTTCATTATCTACATGAATTTTGCATTTCAGATCATGCGGTTTTACCCCCCTTGCAATTTCTTCTATGTAAAGCAAATTATGGATTATCTTTTTCCACCGAATTCCCCTTTTGGTGTGCATTATGGATGATGAAATGTTTGAGAAGTCACTATCCTGTTTTAGTTATTTGATGCATGCAAAAAATTAAATGAAATGATGATTAATCCAATGCAATATTGAGAAGCTTTCATAGCCTCTCACATCCCAATTACTATTTTTTTTAGATGGTTTGTTAGTGTTCTGGTTTAGCTGTCTTATCAACCAGCATAAGAAACATCGCCGAACTTGAGCACTGAAGGACTTAATGTGTATATGATTACAAACACTCTATCTTTGCATTTATACCAATCCCATGGAGATTTTCCGCCTTAGTTCTTTAGGAAGCTCTGTGATTGGAAATTTACTTAACTAACTTGCCTTTTTCCTTCTTCTGTCTAATCTTCTAGACTGATACCTTTCCTCTTTATCCCGATAAATGTGTTGTTTGGCTGTTAGTTGAAGTTGATTTGGCATAGTATGCGGATTCAACTAATGACAAGAGCATGACCATCAAATTCTAATGACACCTTTTCTCTTTATGCAAACAAACTTCTTGTTTGTTACCCAAAACAACAGTGTTGTTTGACTACTGGTTAAATTTGGATCACCATAGTATGCTGAATCAACAGACTCCAAAAAGATGACTATTACACTCTAATGAGAAACTTTGGTACAAGTCCTCTTCCATGAAGTACTAGCTTTTCTATATCATCATCGTCGTCTTCATCATCCAAGTCTTACCCCAACTACTTGGGGTTGGCTAATTCCTATAGAAAAACTTTGCCAAAACTTCTCATGAATTCGGAATAGCAGATCAGGATTCTTGTAGCCGACCCCAATTAGTTGGGAAAGGCTTTGTTGATGATTATGATGTGGCAAAAGTTTTATGCTGACGGCCAACCTAATGCAACCCTTCTTCTTTCTCATACGAGCTCGGGATCAGCCGTGATGGAGTTTCTCCTCCCCACAAAAATAAGAACAAATATTGCCATAAATAATTCGACTACATGAATGTACTAATAGTCTAAACACATATCAGTCTCCTCACCCCTTCGATCCCTCCCCAGCTTCCGTTGTCAACTGAGTCGACCTCATTTTGACCAGTTCACATACAGGAACTGCCCCATCTATCTCTCCCTTTACTTTTGTCCATAACTCCTCAGAGTCCAATCCTTCACATCCAACTCAACTAGGGAATCTTTGTAGTGGGAGGCTAGATGCTCCTCCGCTAACCAATTCACACTAGGTGACAATTAAGTATCAGATAAAAAAACCCGATCAAAAAGTAAAGGATCACCAAAAACACTAAACAAATGCCAGAAGTGAGAAGATATGTTAATGAAAATATCATATAAGGAAGAATGATTCATATTCCAATGGGAACCGCTTTTAAAGACCTATTGATGTTTTAAAACAGTTGAAGTTTGACCAACATTACTGGTAATAGAAGTTTACAACAGTAGTTCAAGCAAAATTTAAAAATGCAATAGGATCAGTTTGGTTTGAAAAATTTTCTGACATTAGTTCTCACATGGAAGCTCTGAATTGGAGCATCCACAAACTAAATATATTTCATGTTAGGCCATTTGAACCTATACTGCAGTCTATCGGAAAATTATGCTCAAGTTTCAAAAGAGCATATTATTACTTTTCTCTCCATTAAGTATGTATTCCAATCTCTCGGAGTATTTTTTATTGTATTCATTTTCTGTAACCCCATCCAATATTTATTGCCCGATCCCATTTTCAACCATAGTATAGCAATCACATGACAATAACATAGCCACATAAAGTTACTAAAAACTTACAAAAAGAATAAGTGGTGTACGTACATGTAAGACATATGACTGGAAACTTTTGCTGGGGCACTCAACATCATCTAATCCATTATACACTTTTTCTATATAAGTTATACAATTGAAAATAATCTTTCCTTAATTCAACCCTTACTATATCTATCAGTTGAGCAATTTGTGTTATACTACTTTGAAGCTTGCAGGTCACCTAGTGTGTAAGAGAGTGATATGAAGAGTTCTCATGCCGGCTGAGAATCCTTTCTTGCGGTAATTAATTATGTATTTAGAAAGCATTGAAATTTGTCTGAGGAGTTTATAAGAGGTGTTCTCTAGAATTTTAGAAAAAGTCAGCATATGCCTTTGATTGGATGATTTTGTATCTTGGATCTACTGAAAGTAAAATTCAACATAAAATTTACTAAGAAAATGAGAAAATTTCAACACAGTGTTGACATGGGACAAGCAAGTCTTCCCACTATAAGAAGCCGAAAAAGCATTTTGTCTAGGCACATGAGTTTTCTAAGGGATGAAGAATTTATACTTTGATGAGCCTAGTTTCATAAAAAATGGAATTTATAGTTTGATGAGCCTACTTTCATAAAAAATGGAATGAAATAAAATAGTCATAGTTGTTGGGATCAAGATTGGGATCTGGAATGTTTGATAGTGATCGACAAGAAGCTCCCTATGGTCCGGATCACTATTCGTACGACCTAAATTTTAGGGATCCGGATACCAACATTTTGGGAAGTTGGATCTCAACTTTTTGGGATCACATGAAAAATTTTAGAATTCCAGACCCATCCAATAAAAGCATCTTTTCTCTTTGAAAAATATATAGAACACAATTTTGTAGCATAATTACTTTCTTTTTTTTAATGGATATGCATTTAAGACTTGTTTCCTTTAAAAGATCCATTCAACATGAATGTGATTTAACTGATCCCTTACTGATTGGGATCATGTTCCCCCCATATGGGAGCGAGATTCATCCAAGGTCCAGCTCTGGGAGCGTGGGACCACTAGGATTGCCACCAAGTTGGGAATCCCGGTGACTATGAATAAAATTTTCTTTTCTGAACTCTAAATAAATAAAGAATGACTAGAGGCACCCTTATATTTTAGGGATTGCATACAACAGGTTAAAATCAATTTGTGTACAAATATGCCCACCTTTAAATGACTACCTGTAACAACCAGAGAAACTGCAACTAGTTAAATCAACAAGTCTATCCGCTGAAGCAACAAGATCACAACTAGTGAGACTGCATGTAAAACTACATTGAGAGAAGACCTTTCAAATATTAAGATGTGTAATGACCCCAATGTAAAGTAATTCTTATGAGCGACCTCTCAGGGGGTCACATAATATATGTAATATATGCTGGTCTTTGGAACAAGTAACTGAAAAAGTGTCCATGTGATGAATAGAGTCCACTGGTGACATGAAATTGTGGATATGCCTTCAATGTATTACAAAAGAGAATTTTATGACCCTCACATATAAAATTTCGATACACTTGGCACCCTCCTTAAGCTGACATCGGGAGTAAAACCATTGATATTTTGTCCTCAAAACATGTGTTTGTAGATGTTATCACACCCTTGTGAGGATATGTGCTTGAAGTTCAGACTGTTCATATTATATATGTAGAGAGATGCATCTGGAGTAAAGTGATGACATTCTTAATACCTCTCTCGTACTATGAGGAGGGGGGGGGGGGAGTTATCACTATCCTAACAGCACTAACATTGTCTTCATGCAATGGCGTTAGAAACATCAACTCTGTCCCTAGCTCATGATTAACATGTGTAACCGCATAGTTTTGCTATTGACAAGTGTCATAGATTGCAATTTATTTCAAGTAATAACTTGGCATCATATAATGGAGACTGGGGAGTAGCCTAGAAATGCTCAATATTCTGAAGCCAAAGTAGTGCTGGGCTTTCAGCCTAGTCTACTTCTACACATGCTATCAAATCAACACACACACCCACACACACACACACACACACACACACACACACACACACATATATATATATATATATATATATATATACTATATATATA